CACACACACACACACACACACACACACACAGTAAACAGACACACACACACACACACAGTAAACAGACACACACACACACACACACTGATCACACGGCGTCAGCTCCGCCTGACACTGCCGCACACTGCCAGTTTTCACATCCTCCGTCATCGTATCCCCATCCGGCATCGAAGATCAGTCAGCTGTCGGCGCTCGCACCAGACATAATATCCACAAAACTCGACCTCCCTCAACCGACGTTGCTGGCGTCAGCGGCTACACCGTCCACCACGTCGCCCGCCTCCACAAGCTCAATTGCATCCACATCTCGGCGCCGCTGCCACAGCCCAACTGGTCCCGTCGTCGCCGTAGCCACAGTCCGTCTCCCGTCGTAGCAACGGCGCAGGCCATTCATGCTCCCATCAGCGACGACCTGAACTGATGCTGCCAGAGACGCGAAGGTGATGGCCGTCGATGTCTCATTCCGCTCGATCTTCCCTAACCCGAATTTAAGAGCTCTCGTGCACTGGCCGACATCGATCTGAATTTGAGAGCATGTTGCGGCGGAATTTGGCGTGACCGACGCACGGAGTCTTGTCGAGGAGGGTTATGAATTCCTCAAAATTGATGACGGAGCCACCAACCAACGATTGGAATTTGGGAGAGATGAAGGTTGTGGGAGAGTAGGGGTGAGCATGGTGCGGTTCGGTGCAAAACCGCACCGAACCGTAAAAAACCGAAAACTGAAAATGTACATTGGTTCAAACCGAACCGCATCGAACTTTGAGGAAAAACCGAACCAAAACTGCACCAAAATTTTCGGTTCGGTTCGGTGTGGTTTCGGTTAACCGACTGAAAATGGCCATTGTCGAAGAACACTGGTTCAATTAAAATTAGTCCCACCAAATTGCATAACAAGCTTAACATATAAAATTTACCCAAAGTTTATTGAAAAGTAAAATTAGGGTTGTTGGTCCCTGAAGAAAAAGAACGAGATGGGAAAAGGAAAGAAGAAGACTGAGAGTGAGAGGTGACCTAAATTGAGGCCGGTGACGACGAGCGAGTAAGAGGTTGGACTGCCGGCGACGGAGAGTGAGAGACGAGAGAAGTCAAAGGATGGTCTGCGGCGTGACTATATCTGCGTGAAAGGAGAGAGAGAGAGCTGAACTTTAGACTCTCACGCAGAGAGAGAGAGATTCGAACTTACAATGAAAGTGGAGTCCATTTTCTACAATTTAATAAAAGTTCAATCAAAACACAATAATGTTCAGTACAATACACAATATACTGTGTGTATTTGCACGTTAAAAGTTCAAAAAAAAAAAAAATAATGACCAAACTTTTTAAAAATGTAATACATTTCATTGAAAAATATATTATGGAATAACAGTACAGTAAAAGTGTATTCATTTGGCGTTGATATTTTAAAAATTTGGTCAATATATACACAATATTGTTAATCGGATCGTGTTGATATTTGAATATATTTATTTAATAATTTATATTTATTTTTTTTTGATTTCCGATTTTTTAATTTCGGTCATTAATGTGCAATCTGATCGTCATTAATATGCAATTCGTCTAACAGTGTTGTGCACTATTGATACATTTAAAAAATATAATAATAATAAATTTATATAGTTCAATTGGTCTGGTTATTTCGGTTATTTGAAAAAAAGAAGTAAAGCCGACATCGAACTGAAATAATTAACATTTTAAAGTAAACACAAATAATCGAATTGAAATATAAAATATCGAATCGAACAATTTAGTTCGGTCGAATATATCCATATTGTGCAATTTCTTAATCAATAATGTGAATTTCGTCTAACATATTTGTGCACTCGAACCGTATGCATTTTTAATGATTTGTTCCTAACCAAATTAAAATTGAACCAAATAATCAATTTATTCAATCGATTAGCCGTATTACCCTCATTGGTCAAAACGATTTACTATTTACATTATGAAAATATATTTAATACTCTAATATTTATATTTAATATTTTATATTATTTTTTAGTTGAAAAGACGTAATATATAAAATAACTATATCAATATTGTGCATTCCAGTAGATTATAATGTGTATTTCGTATGAAATTATTGTGCACTCTATTGATTGGAGTAAAACTCTTTCCGCAAGAAGAATACGCCCCGTGTGGCAGCTAACGGTTCAAGCATAACTTCCCCAAAGATACAACGGCAAACGTCTCTAAATCTGTAGTACACCAGATTTACGAGTTTCGGCGAACTTGAACGGAGTCGAGAATTGAGAACTAAAAAATAGGAATAAAAATATATGTGCATTATAATTATAGAAACTTTAATAGGTTGTATTTCAATTAATATTATTTTCACTTATCAAATTATTTATAAAACTAAAAATATAATTCATAACATTTTAATACAATAAATTATTATTTTTTAATGTTTCTATTTATTATATTAATATATATGATAAAAAATTAAAAAATAATGTATTTTAATTTTTTTAAAAATTGCAGATTTAGCTCACGGGCTAAATTGAAAAATTAAACTAATCAAACTTTGTTAAAATTGCAATAAAGTCCATGAGAAATATCAAATTTTCAAAACTAAAACCCAAACTCCTCCCCACACCTGAAATCGGGCCCTTTCACCCTGCCCCGCCGCACACAGCACGCATAGGTGCAAGATGTCTTGCAATGGTTGCTTCTTGTCAGGGAAGGAGGTGGGAAGGGAATGTTGATTTTCTTTTTTTAGATCCACCATTAATGGAGATTCAAGCAAGAACGAGGGAGACGGTGGCGTTCCGGGTTGCTCGTGTATGATGGAGCTTTGCGGCTGCGCTTCAACGGACCTCGCCGGCGTGTCAGCAACGTTCGACAGTTGGCGTCGACAGTGGAGGCTAACTGCTTGTCGCTAAAGATGGTGGAGGTTTCCGGCAGGCAGTGTAGGCGGCGATGTTGTGGCGGTGACCGATGGTGGTAAGTGACGACAATCGGCGGTGGCAAGTGTCGGCGGCCGTGTTGTGTGAGTGTGTGTGCATATCGTGTGTGTTGTGTGAGAGTCGTATGTGTTGTGTGTGTTTTGTGTGTGTTGTGTGTGTTTTGTGTGTGTTGTGTGAAAGAGAGTGTGGTCGGATCCCACTGATGGGTTGGTGATGGGTAGATGCATTGAATATTAATGAGGTGATGTGTGGTAGGTTCCACGAAAGATATAATTTTGAAAAAAAATTTAGTCATTGAATCATTTAATCTAATGACTAGAATGTATTCTTATTTTTTCCACTAAAGACCATTCTCATTTGAGCGGGACCCTATATATATAATCACTAAAGACCATTCTCATTTTAGCCAGCTTTTCATTTATTTGTAGCATGGTAATTTGTGTTGGGTGAAAAAGAAGTCTTAATTTCTTGGGTTAATAACTTTTTGCCATGTGAACTTTCACGTTTTTGGCGCATCATCATACGAACTTTTATTTTTTGCAAACCACTATCTAAACTACACGGGTTTTTCAATTTATCCCCCAGACCAGATTTAATTCTAGTTTGACCTGCTTGAAACTGGTTTTGAGCCCCATATAAATACTCCACATCCGGTAGACGGTTCCCCTACCTTTCTCTACATTTTCATTTCTCGCAAACACATTAGGGTTTCAGCTCTTGCGATTTTGAAATTAAAATTAGGGTTTTTTCCTTTACCTCGTAATCGAAATTCATTTCACTACTTTCTGAATCGACGTACGAAACTGAACACACTGTGAGTACAAAGTAAATTTAGCACAACGATGAGTTGGAAGCTGCGGCCAAAATGGTGCCAGCCTTCGGGAGCGAATCACAATTGTAAGTGTTAGGTTATTTTTTCCTCTCAAATCTGATACCTTTGTCTCAAAATATGAATTTTGAGTGCTTAGTTTCATGTTTGTTTTCCGAGGTGTTTTTTTTTTTTCATATAGGTGATAATGCTGAAAGTTTTATGATTGCAATCAATCATTCTGGTAAATTTGTAAGTTTGGATCGAAATGTGTATTGTGGTGGTTCTGTTGACTTTATTGACAATTGTGATGCTGATTTGATTTCACTGGTTGGGATAATGTCTATGGTTAAAGAAATTGTCTTGGAAAATATGGGTAAAATATTCTACAGAAAAAGAGGAATGAATGATTGTTCTGATTTGTTACTACTTGAGAATGATTTAGATGCTATGAATTTGGTGCAATGGTTGGATTATGATAGAGTTGTAAGTTTGTTTGTTGAACATGAGCCCCTCATTTGTAGTGGTAATCAGTCTGAGCCTAATGAGTCTGAGCTTCCAAATGTTGTTGAACCATTTCCATTTGTTGGAAATTCACAAAGTTCTGAGGAGAGAATCAGTCAAGAAAATGCATTTGTAGGTAGTAATGAGAATCAGTCTGGTGGTGTAAGTAGAACATACCTGCAAGATGTTATTGATGATAGGGAAACAGATGAAAGTGATAGTGATGTTGATGATCATTTAGGTGAAACAGTTAGTGACTCGGATATGTCTAATTATATAGGTGAAAGTGATTATGATGTATCAGATGATCATGTGCTGTTTGATGGTAGTATAGATGTTGAAGTTGAGTTGGGTGGTTTGAACTTGGGAGAGAAGAAAAGGTCAGAAGTCCATGGTAAGTTTTATGATGGGAAGAAAAAAAGTCAGATGCATGATGGTTATCCAGTTTTTAACCCTAAGTTAGATGAAGAAGACCCAAAATTTGAGGTAGGCATGAACTTTAGTGATACACCTACCTTTAGAGAAGCTGTGAGGCAACATTCTAGGAAACAAGGTAGGGATATTGTTTTCACTATTAATGAGAAAACTAAGGTTCAAGCCAAGTGCAAACATGAAAAATGTCTCTGGGTGATTTATGCCTCTAAGAAGCAGGATGAGGACACAATGGTTGTAAAAACCTTTAATGGAAAACACAGGTGTAACAGAAAACAAAAAGTTTCTCATGCTGGTAGTGAATGGCTTGCAAGAACCTATAAGGATAAAATTTGGAGTGATCCAAATTGACCAGTTGATTCAATGATGCTAGGGACACAGAAAGAGAAGAAACTTGTTTTAAGCAAGAGTATGATGTATAGGGCCAAGAAGATAGTTCAAAAAATAGGAGGTCTGGTGGACAGTGATCAATATGGATTGTTGTGGAGGTATGCAAAAGAAATTAGGGACACTAACCCTAACACCACAATGAAGATCAAGTGTAACATGATTGATGGAAAACCTGTTTTTAGAAGATTCTACATTTGTTGGGGCTCACTGAAGATGGGGCTATTAGAGGGTTGCAGACCTATTATATGTTTTGATGGTTGCCATTTAAAAAGTTTTGCAGGGGGTGTGTTGTTGAGTGTTGTAGGATTAGATGCAAACAACAACAGTTTCCATTTGCATATGATGTTGTCGAGAAAGAAACCAAAAATAGTTGGGGCTGGTTTATGGAATTTTTAGCCCAAGATTTAAATTTCAAGGAAGCCCACATGTGGAAAGTTATGTCTGATAGACAAAATGGGTTAATTGATGCAGTGAATAGATTTTTCTCTGATTCTGGACATAGGTATTGTGTCATGCATCTGTACAATAACATCAAGCTGAACTACAGAGGATTGACTCTAAAAGGTATCCTCTTCAAGGCACCAATGTCATCAAGGGTGGTTGATCTACAAAAGGCTATGGATGAGATGAAAAATAGAGATGAAAAGCATTCAAGTGGTTAGCTGAAGTTCCTCCATGTCATTGGTCAAGGTCCCACTTTTCAACTCATAGCAAGAGTGATATTCTTTACAATAACTACAGTTAGAGTTTCAATTCCATGATTTTGAGTGCCAGAAAGAAGCCAATTCTTGAACTCCTAGAGCACATCAAGTTAATATTGATGAAGAGACTGCATGAGATAAGGGATCAAATGTTAAAATATGATGGTGATATCTGTCCAAAGATTGTTAAGATCTTGGAGGAACTGAAAAAGAGAGCTTTAGATTATTTTACTCATTGGAATGGTGAGGATCAGTTTGAGATAGAGAATGGGATAGGAACCAGGTTCAAGGTTCATTTAACAGAAAAAACTTGTACCTGTAGAAGGTGGGATTTAACTGGTATCCCATGTGTTCATGCAATAAGTGGGATTTTCTACTTGGGGAAGAATCCTGAAGACTTTGTGGACAAATGTTACAGTAAGAACTCATTTCTAAGGTCACATTCACATATGATGAAAGTCATTAATGACTCTGAAATGTGGGCAGAGGTGGATGTGCAACCTCTTGTCCCACCTGTGACTGAGAAGATGCCTGGAAGACCAAGAAAACATAACAGAAGGAAAGATCCAGATGAAGGTAAAAGAGATTCTGGGAGGCCATCACAAGGTGGAAGACCACTTACCTTAGGGAAAAAGGGAGTGAAGATGACATGCTCATATTGTGGACAGAAGAACCACAATATCAGAGGTTGCCCTTCTAAGAAGAATCAAACATTGGATGAAAACAACCAAAAGGTTTCATTTATGTACTACTTATGCATTCATACTTTGAAGATATTCTAACATCAATTTATTATATGTTTTGGCAAATGAAAAAGATGAGCAAGGAGGGGTCAACCAAATGATCAATGACCCAAATGGGCCCTCACAAGCATTTGCCTCAGTGGGCCCTGAGCGAATGGACCCTGCCTCAGTGGGCCCTGACCAAATGGACCCTGCCTCAGTGGGCCCTGACCAAATGGACCCTGCCTCAGTGGGCCCTGACCAAATGGGCCCTCAGGAGATAGGATCTTAGCAAATGGGCCTTGACCAAATGAGCTATTAGCAGATGGACAATGACCCAGACTTGGAAGATATTTATTCAGTCATTGATGAATTTGATGCTTTTGATGCATCACTGCCCAATAATGAACAACCACTTGCAAGGGTATGTTTGACTTTTCACAGTACATTTTAAATGTTGGAAACCCTAAAAATTGACTAACTAATAAATTGTGCAGCCTCCTCAAAGTAAAAGAAGAAACACCTCTCCTCAGAGAACAAGAAGCAAGACCTCAGAGAAACAGAATGCAATGAAGACTACTGAAACTCAAGTGAGATCAATTGAGAAGTCACCGGCCCTTACCAAGAGGACAAGAGAAGTCTCAACAAAAAAAAGAGTTGGCCAAAAGCATCACAGTGTCATGACCAACCACAAGATCCAAGAAGAACATCAATTCCACTTCAACTACCAATTACATGGGTAGTAAGGTAACTGAATCTATTACATGTAGATAAAATAGAGTATTTGTTGACTACTTTTAAGTTCTTATTGATTTTCTAATTAATTTGTTATTCTAGTCAATTGATAAGGTCACAGGTATTGAGAAAATTGTGCACACACAGAACTCTCAAACCACCAAGGATGTTCATAGCACAAAAAAAAATTTAGGTCTGAAAAGGAAGTTGGATGTAAGTATTTGGATGCTTTATTGGTTATTTGTTTTGCACATATGTATTTTAAGTTGTACTTCAAATCTTGACAATTGTAATTACTGTTAGTTGAGAAAGATGTCAAAATCTCAAGGTCAAACATCCACTTCTGCTCCTGAGGATGACAGACCCCATGGAGACCACCTGGGAGGTTACGCAGAGATGGTGATGGTGCAAGCTTCTCAAGAATGTTTGGTGCAGGAGTCATCATAAGTGGAGGAGGGATTGTAAACAGGACAGACCCATCTGTGGTCAGAAGTGAAGAAATAGTCATAGCTGAAGAAGAAGCCCCAGTTTGTAAATAACAGTAGACTAGGCTTGTTCTTAATTTGTGGCTCTGAACTAGATAGATCATGCTTTGTTGGTTTGGTTTCTGAAAATATGATTTGTTTTGTGTTGTTGGTATGTCTTGGAGAAACATGATTTGTTTAGGGTCTTTTGAACATGTTTTGTTGACTTGGTTGCTGTGAACATGTTTTTTTAGGATACTATGATTGTTTTTTGGGATGTGGGGAATTTATGATCCAAACCATGTATAATCCTTGTTGGATATTTAAGTGTTTGGTTGGAAATTTAAGTGTTACTTTATTTTGGTTTTTTATTCATCCCTAATGGCACCAACAATGTACACAAACTAATCAGAAAAACAGCAGGGATTTGAAACATAGTCCATTGTCCATTGCCTTCATGAAATGACCAATACACCATAAACATTACATTGTCCACAAAATAAAAGAGATGCTTTCATTGCATTCACAAAACAGAAACATCCATTGCATTGACAAAATGGCCAACTACAAGATTGCACACCCATTACACTTCAAGTACATCTATTTCATCTTGTTTCAGTCAATACTCAAGCACACCCATTACACTTGAATATGCACAGAACAATCAAACCAACAATTGTCAACAACATGAGCCTCTCCCATTTCTTCCTTCTTGCAATTTCTTCTTCCAATTTCTTGGCCCATTTCAGAAGCCCAGGAATGAGTTGTTGTGCTCTATAACACATTGAAAGGTCAACCCACACATGGTATGTGCACCCACCCAACATCTGGAATTCGAAAAAAGGGAAAAAATTGATATGAGTTGACAAACATAAATGTCAAAAAAAGATGGGAAATTAAACTAGAAAATTCAATTAAACTAACAAATTGAAATCGAGAGAAGAAATTGAGTGACACTCACCCGGTATTTCTCGCAGGCCGAGTACCTTCGCCCCGCATTACCATCAGCCCATGACGTCTTTCGCACAGTAGGCTTCCCACAGCGGCAGAAATCATCGATTAGCTCCTCGGAGATTTTCCTGAACATTGCTTTGATTCAAAATTGAAAACCCTAGCTAGACCAAAAGAGGGGAAAGTTGGATAATTTTGAGAAAATTCTGCTCGTAAAGGACCGGTAGATGAGTATTTATATAGGGCTCAAAACCAGTTTCAAACAGGTCAAACCAGAATTAAATCTGGTCTGGGGGGTAAATTGAAAAACCCGTGTAGTTTAAGTAGTGTTTGCAAAAAAAAAAATCGTATGATGATGCGCCAAAAACATGAAAGTTCAGATGGCAAAAAGTTATTAACCCTAATTTCTTTTGTTCTTCCCATCAAACAATTGTGATTTGTGAGAAACCCAAACGCTGCCCAATAAACAAAATGGAAAATTGAGAATATAATAAAAAAAAACTCGCTCCCGTCGTAATCATCAGAGAGCCAAAAGGGGGGACAATGCTTTTTTTTTTCCTCTCTCTCTAGGGTTTGCAGAGCGAACTATTAAACTATCTCCACGCCACGTACACGAAGCCTGATATCTTCATCTCACGAACAATGGCTTTTTGGGGTAAGTCTGTTCTTCTCCACCTCTTGGATAATTTGTTGTGCTTGCTTGCTTGTGTGTGGAACATTGCTTGCGTTTTTTTTTTTATGTAAAACATACAGTTGTCTATGTGCTTTTCAGGCGTCGAGGTAAAACCTGGGAAGCCAATCACTCACTATTGCGAAAAGGCTAGAGGAAGGCTTCGAATTTCTCAGGTGTTCATTCAATAGAATGGCCTATTGGGCTAGTCAAATGTTTGAAGCTTTTTTTGAGTTTGCATTTCAAATGAGGATTTGTTGATACACTTTTCTTCATGAAGCACAATAGACGGGTCACAATTTGGATGAGAGAGATTTTTCCAAAATTTTATGATTTGTCATTAACTGGGATTCTGTCAAAATGTTCATTGTATGATATGATTTTGTGGTGTTATTTGTCATGTGTATTGTCTCTTTTACTAACTTCATTATTGCTGTAATTGATTTGGTCTATTAGGCAACTCTTGGAAATAGATATGCTACAATGAGGTCAACAGTGCAGTGTAATGTAGGTAGAAGGAGTCCAGTCTTGCTCTATGTGTTGATGCCTGAAAAAACGGAGTCTTGCCATTTAGATTTGGAATTTGAGGAGGCTGATGATGTGGTCTTTTTTGTTATGGTCTTTTCTGTTATCGGCCCACGAAGTCTGTTCCTCAGTGGTTATTACGTCCAGAAAATTCAGGGCATACGTCCGCACGATGATTCGTATCCTTATTTTGTGTTTGTACTCTTTTTATGCAATAATGTTGTTTGAGTTTGTTGAACGTTTATTTGTTTTGGAGTTTTGAATTCTTAGCTTCTTTTACTTCTTTGTTGGGGTGTGAGGTCGGTGAAAAGTCAAAATTCAGAAAGGAAAAGAAAAAGGCACTCAAAAAAGAACAGGAAAATAAAAAAGCATTCAAAAAGGAAGAGAAAACCCACACCATTCAAGCAGCCAAGGATAGCAACACTGTTCTGGCAGAGGAAAATGTGCACGAGGTTGAGGCCTTCACTAATATATAAGAACCTTGTGTGTTTGAACTATTGATTATGGTCTTTCCTAATGTTGTATCTTTGTCGTGCTGAGTTTCCTTCTAATATTAAGTACACTCTCAATCAAGGATTTCAGTAGAAATTCCAATGATGATCTAACAAAGAAGAGAAAAAGTGAACTGCAGCTGGAAGGAAAAAGTGTAAAAGGAACTGACAATCAATGTGGTTTACAGCAGGCGGAAAACCAGACTCAAGAATAACCGGGGTTAGAAGAAATTCATACAGAAGAAATTGGTGAAAAATATCATAAGATACCAAAAGAGGGTAACTCTGTGCAAGTATTGCCATATGGTGACAGCTCTAGTGATGATCTTCAAAAAGAAAAGGGAAAAAATCAAGACCTACGGTCTGGTTTACAGCATGCTGAACGGTCAAAGCCATCCCTTTCCTACAACCCAAAGGTCAGTCAAGAAGAAGGCACGTGTTCCCGCTTTCGTTGTCACGCTGTGGCCTCTACTTGAGGAAGCGAAGCGAAGTGAAGTCATAGAAGTAGTAGCCTTTCTCGGCTGCCTCCTTCCTCTATCGACTTCTGCTCACGATTGAGAATGTCGAGGCGGAGGTCCAGGCTAGACCTCAAAACGTTATCTTCTTATACTGCTTTCCAAGTTTCAAACATAAACTCTCGGTTGATTTCATTTCTAACGGTAAAAAATCTAATATTTCTCCTTAAATTCAAAAGTTCCAAGCCTAACAGTGAACCTAAATAATATGAGAGAATGACCAAATTCCTACCTAGTGATCTTGTCTTATTATATATGCAACTGAAATGAAACAAGAGAAGAAAAATCTAGATCAAAGAAAAAGCAGATGAGTACTGACTTATCAATCTGTAGGTCTTGATTTTCTCCCTATTTTTTTTGAAGATCATCCCTAGAGCTGTCACTATATGGCAATGAAAATCAATCTCAAGAACAATCGGGGTTAGAAAAAATTCATACAGAAGAAATTGGTGAAGAATATCAAGAGATATCAAAAGAGGGTAACTCAGTGCAAGTATTGCCATATGGTGACAGCTATAGGGATGATCTTCAAAAAAAGAAGGGGAGAAAATCAAGACCTACAGATTGATAAGTCAGTACTCATCTGCTTTTTCTTTGATCTAGATTTTTTTCTTTTGTTTCATTTCACTTGCATATATATAATAAGACAAGATCACTAAGTAGGAATTTGGTCATTCTCTCCATACGCTGAAATATTATTTAGGTTCACAGTTAGGCTTGAAACTTTAGAACTTAAGGAGGAATATTAGATTTTTGACAATTAGAAATGAAATCAACCGAGAGTTTATGTTGAAACTTGGAAAGCAGTATAAGAAGATAATGTTTTGATCTCTAGCAGCGTCATCAAGCATTTCCACTTTATGTCGTTCATTTGTGTAACAGAAATATCTTCTTGCAGCATCATCAGCACTAAGGATATACTAGCTAGTTATGGTCAGCCTGACGAAAGGATTAAGAAAGAGAAAATACCATCTAATGGGAACTTGAACATGGATACACCTAATGTGGAACCTAATAATACAGAAACCACGCTCATTGAAACTGACCACCAGAGTGCAGATACAGGGCAATGTCTAAAACAAACCATATCAAAGGGGGAGTTAATCATTGAGGAATTAAAAAGTGGACCACCTGATGCTAAAGTAGCTGCACTTGGTAAAAAGGTATATTTTTGTCGTCTAGTCATTATACTTGTACAAAATTAGTTGGGTTATCTTGTTCTTGGTTGATTTTATTATGATTGAATTTGAACTCCGATCAGGTTAAAATTTATTACACGGGGCATGTCTTTGATTCGAATGTTGATAAAGATGCTATGTGTTTTGTGTTTTTGGTTGGGCGATGAAGAATTCATTGATGGTTGGAATGTTGGCATAGATTGTAGCTACTTGTGAAGCATGCTTACTACATTTTTTCTGTATTTATTTATTTATTTTCTTCAGGTTGAATTTGTAATATTTGAACATGATATCTCTTAGGTATGCGTATTGGTGGAAAGAGGAGGCTTATCGTCCCACCTTCAATAAGGTATGTTTTGAATTTTCTAAAGGCGGAAACTTCTATCTGTGTTGAATTTTTGTCCAGAAGAGTTCTTTTTTATTTTTTTTTCTTTTCGATTTGCAATTTCCATCTATATAACATTTTTTCGCTTGTGGTATCAGTTTTGGAGATAACGCATTGGGAGAAGATGTTCCACCTCATGGCTGATATACGAAATCGATCTGCTTAGTGCACGAAGATAACCTCGTTGGCTTTGGTATTTCTCCTCTTCCATCTTTTGGGTTTTTGCTGCTTAGTGTACGAAGATAACCTCGTTCGCTTTGGTCTTTTCTCCTCTTCCTTCTTTTGGGTTTATGCGTAAATGGAAAGAGGCGTGGGTTAAAATGTAAGAAACGGGGTCTAAAGCTAATGGTTCAGTTGAAAATACATTCTAGAATCAGAACAGTTTAATTTTATTTTGCTTTTTTCTTTTCCCTTTTATGTTCAACCCTCTATTAACATATATTTCATTGATCCTGTTAAAGTATTCTGACATCTCCGCGCTCAACAATTTTAGCCATGGGGGAAATTGATGCATTCTTTAGTTTGCATTTGTTTAATTTTAAGTATTTTAAGGAAAAATAATAATATTTGATGCTTTACAAACACTTTTCTACTTTTGATATTGAGGATCAATGCCAAAATAAAGTAAAAAATGCTTCTTATCGGAATTTTGCCACATTAAGGCAGAGATATTTGATTCAAGCATCACAATGTGTCCGTTAAAAACATGATGTTTACATGATGCCACTTACGGGATTGGACTATGTACCTCATTTAATTGTTCAATTTTGATTGGTATTAGATGTTTACAAAACATGATGCGGTTTTATCCAAAATTGTCAAGAATTTACTAGGTGAGATTAAAATGGATGATATATGTCCACAATGATCAATTTAGCCTTCAATTACCCTCTCCATTTGTCACATTACCCTTGCGAGCACAACCAAATTGTGTCGTGGTCGGACGGCAATTGGAGGACGATGAACGCAAGAAAAAAAATAAAAATTGAGGGCTACAAATTCGATTTTCCTCTTTTTGTCCTGGATTCGCAAAATCATTTGGTTATAGAAATAAAACAAAAAAATGTGTAAAGAGTTAGTTTTCAAAAGATAAGGTTTTGCAACATGGGCAACATTTGAATGTGTTGTTTGGACTCCAAGTTTGGATGGTTTTTTGGGCTGAAGATGAAATATGCAGGGTTGTTTGATGAAAATTGAACTTGTAGGAATGTATTATAGTTATGATTGAACCAGGTTTTAAGTATCACTAGATTCATTACTCATTACACCTTTGGGTTGTGTTGCGTACCGTACCAAGCATTGTTTACTGATACAACGTATGAAATGAATCACTAGATTCATTACTCAGTACACCTTTGGGTTGTGTTGCGTACCGTACCAAGCATTGTTTACTGATACAACGTATGAAATGAATAGGTCCCGCATGAAACAAGATTTTCATGTGCAGTTGGTCTAGTAATGAAATGAATAGGTACCACGTTTCAATACAGTACAAATATGCTCCATAAAAGAGCAGCAGCAGCAGCAGCAGTCTCATCTCAATTCTCATCCAATTTGCATTTAATCACTCGTAACACCAAACAAAAAAACCCATTAGATCTTTACATGAGAGCGAGAAAAACATCATGCAAAGCCTGAAAAAACATTTGCACATTATTACATAAACCTGCATCAACTCTTAACATTCATCAAGGCACACCACAAACAATCCCTCATATCATTCAGGATTGTTAGCAACTCTTATTACACAACACAAAGGATATTATCTTCATTCATTCAGCCACACAATTTCTCGTAAACCAACTGTGCACTCAAAAGATCCACCAAACCCGACCCCACAGATTTAAACACAGTAATCTCATCAAAATCCCCCCTCCCTTGTACATCCCCCTTAATCAACCCTACCAAATCCCCTACAATCCCATCCTTCGCAATCCCATCCCTCCTCCCAAACACGCCCCTCTCAAAAGCACCCACCAGTTCTCCCGCCTCCTCCACCGCCGCCTCGCTATCCACATACACCCTCCCCCTCGCAATTGCCACGTCATCACACTCCCTCATGTCCGGCGTGAACGACCCCACAAGATCCAAGTGGGCCCCACTCCTCAAATCCGCGCCCCTCACCAAAGGGGTTTTCGAGTTCGTGGCGCAGCAAATAATGTCCGCCGTCCTCACGGCCTCCTCCAGGGACCCGCTGCAGCACCACTCGAAGCTCACCCCACGAGGGGCAATATCGTCATTTTTTCTCAGCTGGATGACTAATTTTTCGGCTTTCTCGATTGTCCTGTTCCAGATCACCACGCGATTGATTTCGGGCCTGACGGATAAATGAGCCCTGATGAGGTGGGGCGCCAGCTGGCCAGATCCGACCATGACCAGCATTTTCGAGTCCTCACAGGAGAGGTAGGACGAGGCGAGGGCGGAGACGGAGGCCGTTCGGTAGAGGGTCAGATCTGTAGCGTCCATGGTGGCGAGCGGGCGGCCGGTGGCGGAGCAGAAGAGGGCGTAGACCGCGTGAACCCCGGGCGTGGTTAGGGAGGAGTTGGCGGGGTGGTGGGTGACGAGCTTGGTGCCGATGTAGGGGAGGGAGGGGGAGGAGGACCAGGAGGGCATGAGGAGGAGGGAGGAGTTGGGGCTGGTCTGGTGGGCGTGGCGGAGGGGGGAGTGGACGGCGGAGGAGAGGTGGGGGAGGGTGGAGCGGAGGTGGCGGATGAGGGATTCGTGGGTGATGAGGGAGTGGATTGCGGTGGTTGAGATGAACAGTGGCGGAGGGGGCGCAGCGGTAGCCATGTCTGCGGCTGCGGGCGGGGAAATTATTAATTAGGGTTGGCACCATCCGGAGAGGTTTTACTCATCAATTTTGTTCATAGTTTTTAAACCCGATCCGGGCAGGTCACTGGTTCAACCGTCGGGTCACCGGGTCAATTGCTGAACCGGATAATTAATTTTAAAATTTTCAAAATATATGTAAAATATTTTTATCATATAAATATACATAAAAGTAACAAAATTAAATATTTTGTGTATAAAATGTAGACATTAAAGTGTTACTAATATGTATTTCATGATAAATATTTACCATATAAATATATACATAGTTTTATTTTTAAAAAAATAAAAAAAAATAATATATATATATATATATATATATATATATGGACCGGGTCAACCGGGGTGACCCGGCCGGGTCAATGCCCCGGGTCGGCCGGGTTTTGACCGGGTTTGATCGGGTACTTTGTTGCCCGGTCCAAATAGCCCACCCAAACCGGTTCCGGCTCTTGCTCGACCGGGTCCTGGATCGACCCGTCAGGCCAGTCCGGGTCAAAAAACTATGATGTTGTAAAAACAATTACTACCTCCTATTCGTTTTAAATGTCATTTTGGTTTTATCAACTATTAACCAAACAAATGACGTTTTGAATCTTTTGTACATATTTTTTCATTATTACCCTCATTTAGTTAATAAATACATTGTGTCTTTTCATATTCACTCTCATCTTTTCTCAAACATCCATCTCTATCTTCATTAAATAGGGTTATTATTGACAAAAAAAAAATAATAATTACTGTGCAACTTCTTAAAACGACACTTATTATGAATAGGAGGGAGTATCAATTTTCCCATACTTTTTTGGAAAATGTTACATGTACATAATAAATGTACATAATACTGACATGAAGTGGGGTCCACTTGATTTTTTATTTTTAGTAGGACTCGCTTAATGTGAGTGTTATGTACACATTTATATACACCATTATGTACTTGTAGCATTTCTCTACTTTTTTTTTAAACCAACAATAGGAAATGCTCATAAATAAAAAAAGTCAAAGTACAGACCGCCACTACCAACTGGTAGAAAGAAACTGAGAGAACCACTACACTTAGTGGCCTACATAACAAACATAACTCAATAACCAAGCAGGCACACCAGCCTTAACCAAGGCACTCAAATACAAACCCATCCTACAAACAACTCAACACATACTAACACTACCAAATAACAAGAACATACCAGCACTAACAAGACTCCAAAAGAAAACTAAAAAACAGCAGCAAAGAGAAACAAATTAACTAGAATCAGTGTGCAGCCACACCACAAAACTCCTTCCACTCCACCACTGCTTTATTAACAATGACCGTCTCTGGTAGCCTTTCTGAGTTGAAGAGACACAAATTTCTTGATCTCCACAGTCAAGATATATGTTGATAACTGGATTCTAGCTTCAGAAATGTTAGACTTATCTAAGCTACAAACCTACCACCACCATAATATAAAATTGTTGTCTGCTAGAGTGTTCTGCTCCCATGAAACAGAAGCAAGTTTCCACACCTTTCTAACCTTGCTACAATGTAGAAAAAGGTGCTCAATAGTTTTCTTTGCTTCCCCACAAACCCTGCATATAACATCAATATCTAGGCCTTTTTTTTTCTCAAATTCATACTCACAGAAAGGATACCAATAAAACACTTCCAAATGAAGTGTTTTATTTTGCCCAAAACCCTCAGTTTCTAGCTTCTGTTTCTCACCATGGCATCCATTTTGGCATAATTACTCCCTTCAACTATGTCCATCCCCTTTATCTTCTCAGCCATCAAGTAAAAGTAAGATTCTGATACAGAAAACCCCCTTTCTTATAAACCTTCCATCTCCACAAATCCTCTCTATCTGTCCCAACGGAATCAATTTGAAGGATTGTTGTACTTTCTTGTTCAGAGAAGAGGTTTCTGATCAAGTCAATTTTCCCATACCAAGTTGTTTCATTTGGAATTTTTTTTATACTTTAGAAATTTTGATGTATTTAATTTATATTTTTTAAAACTTTTTAAAAACTTTTAAAATTCTTGGAGCATTCATTTAGGATTCTAAAAAGTCTTATAAAATCATGGGAATTTAACTTATTTGAGGTTATGATTTGCTAAGACTTTTTAAGGTTTGCTCGGATATTTAAAGAAAAAACAGTTGAGATCTATGAGGATCTCGTTATGTACAAGTCACGAATTCAATAGCAAATGTAAACTTATGCGCAGCGGATCTAAAGATTTGACGTAGAAAACTTACGGCTTAAAACTTTCTGAATATGTCTGATTCGGGATGACCGGGAGCAACACATCGGAAGCTTTAACATGAACAGACGGGATCAGTGGTCGTGTGACGCGTTGGGTCGTGTCGCGGGGCTGCCATTCTCCTCATCCGCATGTGATTTTTAACATTTGCACCTCTGAGACGACGTCACCCATTGCATTTTGTAACAGTTGTTGTGCTCGATCACCGACTTTCCACTACATTTTTTCTAGCCTCGGATTAAAATGCAAAATCCTTGGAGGATCTCGCCCTCCACCATCTTCAACCCCTGCAACCCCATCAAAAACTACGAAACCATCACATACTGCCCCTCCTTCAGCAACGAAATTTTCAGGTTGGTCTCAGCATGGGTCGCCCTCGGTTTCCCACGACCATCATGTGGGACCCTAACGTCAGCCCACAGGGAAGCACCATAATTTTCCCATTCTTCAAAAACTACTCCTCACCGACTGATAAGGAGTGCGGGCAAGACTCAGGTTTGGTACTTCCCTTGTTGCTGAACACCCGATTGTTGCCATTTTTTTCAGCTAACTCGAGCTCCCGCCAAAGCTTTTGCCGATTTCTAACGCGTCCTTGGAGGCCTTCAGAATCCCGATGTCGCGTTCGAATTCGCTATTCCGACGGTGAGATTCAACAGGGCGAGCGGCGATTGGAGGATTTCTCTCGATGAGAGGATTTCTCTTATGTCTGGCCCGATGTAGGGTTTGATAAAATCCTGCGTACAAGCCATACACAGAAGAGAAATTGAATTCAAATAAAGTGAAATGCAATTTAAAAATATTTGTGAGTTTATTTAAAATATATAATTATGTTTAGGCACAATTTTTTTAGTAAGGGTATATTAGTATTTACGTATGATACTTTTTGGAATTTTTATTTTGTTAATTATGAAAAAAGACACTTCGTATCCATGTATCCATTAAACACGTACCTGCTGTTAAATAGGTACGAGACAAGTAAGCGTAGAATGGCCGTCGTGAGTATTCCATATGAGCCAATTTATTTTTGCAACCGAAAGAAATCTGTACTAAAGTGGACCATGCAATAATTGGGCTTTCGCTCTTGTGAGTATTTCTTACCAGCCCAATTTATTGTTGCAACCAAAATCTGAGCCCATTTTCTATTATTAGAGAAGAATTTTTATTTGCGTTATTGATTATACCGTCCGTTACCGTCACTGTTTTTCTCCGACTGAGAGCGAGTTACACCACTCGGTTGCTGAAATCCGATTAGGAAACACTACCACCTGCAAAAATGTTTCTCCGGCGAATTGCGCGGCCGTTGATGATGATGGCCAAAGTGAAGGAGACTACAGGGATCGTCGGCCTTGACGTTGTACCGAACGCGCGTGAAGTTCTGATCGGACTGTACAGCAAAACCCTAGAAGAGATTAAGGCGGTGCCTGAGGACGAAGGCTACCGCAAGGCCGTTGAGAGCTTCACGCGCCACCGGTTGAAGGTTTGCCAGGAGGAGGAGGATTGGGAGGCGATCGAGAAAAGGCTGGGATGTGGACAGGTCGAAGAGTTGATTGAGGAAGCTGAAGATGAGCTCAAGCTCATTGGTCATATGAACGGTGCGTTCAGTCATTCTTCATCTTTAATTTTCTTCTTTTTTTCTGTGTCAGCTGATTTTTCAGGCAAATACCATTTCGCCATTTCCATTTGATAAGATTTATAGATGTACGATATTTTTTGTTAGGTTTGCTTATCTTTCCTTGTTTCTGAGACCTGGCAAAGCTTGATTGCTAGATAGAGTAATCTTGAGATTTTTAATGAATAAAATTGCATTTAACCCTCACAACCAAAAAGGAGAAAGGCTTTCGCTTGTGAAGTAGTGTTTTCTTGGCCAAATAAGTTTGAATGTGAAATGCTGGGTTAATTAGGTGAGCCACAAATGACTTAGCTATACATGTGTTCTAGGTTGCTTTGTGTAAAAATAATGCTTCAGGGTTGTAAGTTTGAAAATCAATTTTTAACCTGACTTGTTTCGGATTTTGGCATTGTGTGAATTTTCTCATTGTGACTATTATGAACACTGTATGAGATACACATTTCTTGCTNTTAATCTCACCTTGAAGTTAACAATGAAACAAAAAAGAGGTAAAATTACTTTTTATGGCTTTACTCAGCAACATATGTAAAGCCTTAAATGATCCAAGTTGATGTTGCTTACAACAGTGCATCAGTGCTTCTCTATAACTGATACACAATGGAAAATGTATTTCCTGATCAAAGAAAATCCTCTCACCACCTGAACCAGCCATGTTTTTGTGGTTTGCAGACTCGTTTTGTGTTCTTCTGAAATAGCTGATGCAGGAGAAATAGGACATCGTGCACACTCTTTTTTTATTTTGGTTGTGGGGGAAATTTGTATATCCAATTTTTACAGTACGATGGTTGGCTGTTCACGGCCTAGCTGTACCTACCGTCTTTTTTTGGGGGTCAATATCAGCAATGCAGTTTATCCAACGATAAACCTAATCCCGAATTATAGAGTTATGACACAATCAAACCCGAACGAACAAAATGTTGAATTGTATCGTACCAGTTGGGGTTATTACTCATTTTTGTACTTGCTGTTTTATTTTCCAATTATTTCTTCAATTAGGAAAACGAAATAGGCTAGCAACAAGAGCAACTAGACCGAAGGGAAAAAGAGCTAGCACAACTAACCCAGAAAAAGTGCACTCTCTTTTTTTATTTTGGTTGTGGGGGAATCTTTTATATTTATGAAACACCATTTATGCTCCCTTTACTGATTGTCATATTAGCCATGAGACTAAGTTTAGATGAAGAGATTGTCCAAAGATGATACTTTAGCCATTGAGTCCTCTGTCCAGGCCTCAAGGTGTAGCCTAATTACAAAAACAAGCGAAAATAATATCTTAAAAATTACAAGTAAGCCCTTGAGGTTTGCATTTTCTCAACTGAACACCCTCTCAAAAATGCAAAATTCTGAAACCCTGAAAGTAGCTGTTTCTTTTTTCCTTCTTTTCTTTCCTTTCTTTCGTTCCCTTGCTAATTAGCGTCAAATACTTGGAAAGTTACATTGTTTGTGGCCAAATACTTGGGACTAAAAGGCTATGTTGTTGTTGTTGTTGTTGTTTCACAGAATGGAAGCCATGGGGAATTCCCGATGATTATGAATGTGAGGTTATCGAGAATGATGCTCCTGTCCCGAAGCATGTCCCCCATCATCGACCTGGCCCACTTCCTGAGGAATTCTACAAGACGCTTGAGGCTGTTGAAACTGGCACTTTGAGTGCTGCAATTTCAAGCTCAGAGAAGAAAACTCCCGAGATCTCTGGGGAAGTGCAAGCTCAGTAGCTTGCTTCTATGGTTGTTTTCGGTTTATTTTTCAAGCACTTTCGACTGTTGGGAGTTATAATAATCAGTCTGCTCCGAGTGTAAGATTTGTTGTTGGCTCATGTTCTGTTCTTAATGATATACATTCTCTTTTGTTTTTCTTCTTTATTCGACCATATGTCTGTATTGTGATCATCTGGATGAGAAAGCTCCAGTCTTTGGTTGATCATATCAGTTGATTTTCCCCATAGGCTAAGTTTTTGTTTTATTATGCTTAATGGGTGCAATTAAGCAGCTGATATTGGGAATATTACTTGCTTACGCCTTCTACTCATCTGCATTTTATGTGCTCACAACTGGGTTAAGTGACAATGTTTGTGTTTTCCAAATTGAATTTAATTCTAGTAATCAACCTGTGCATTTGTACAGCGAAGAATACTTTAAAAAGATAACAATATAAAAAAAAATTATAATTTAATTCATTAAAAAAATATGAATTAAGAAAATAATTCTCAAAATTGATTTTGATCTAGTAATTGTTATGGAAGAGCCGTTACAACTATTTTTTTTATGCTAATACACCCGGTCATTTTTATGAAGTGGGTAACTTAAAATTTGAGTACAGTTTTGTAACTCTCTTGATTGGTTTATGCTCATAATTTATGGTATTCAAGCAAGCTATTTTATAACTTAAAAATGAAATTAAATGTTGAAAATTTTGGAGGGAGAATAAAATTTAATGCATGATAATAAAATTAAATGATTTATTACTCTTCTATATATATATATATAGATTTTGATATAGAGCGATATTGGTTATTCTCTTCCCGCGATGTGTGTGCAGTTTGTTGCCAGAAAAAAGATGATGACAGTAGAATCATCATAAAGAGTGGCTGGGCAAGATGGGAGTAAAATTCTCAAAGCAATATCATTCTATCTCTTAAATTAAGGATATTCTAAATTACAGAATTTCATTAATAAGGTTAAGGTGCGCAGTTACTTCGAATTACAAATTACATGTCAACTGCTTCAAAAAATCCAAATATCCCCAGTTTGCTAGTCCAGCATTGTATTTATCGAATAAATCCGAAGTTCCTTCTTTCCCATTGATAGAATTTCAGAAATCTGGTTGATTTTGCTTTTGCTTTCACTACAAATGGAGATGATTGTTAGCAACATAAAACCTGGCTACAAAGGAACTTCCCATTGATAGAATTTCAGAAATCTGGTTGATTTTGCTTTTGCTTTCACTATAAAAGGAGATGATTTCTAGCAACATAAAACCTGGCTACTACAAACTGAAGTCTTCCTTAAACCACCTTCTTTCATTAAACTCCGCACATTATCCCCTAGTTCAAATCGGCCGGCCTCATCATACATATTTGCAAGAATATCATAAATCTCGAAATCAGACGGGTCATGATCAAGAGCTTGCCTCGCCATCTCCTCACCAAGAATCACATTCCCGTGCAATTTGCATGCACGCAACAGTTTTTTATAAACCGGCCCATCATTAACACCAGAAGGCATGGATTTTATCAAACTCACAGCCTCCTCTAATCTGCCCGCCCTTCCAAGAAGATCGACCAACAAGTTATAGTGATAAAATTGTGGCTTTATGTCGTATAGTTCTCTCAAAGAATGAAAATACTCGAGGCCCATGTCAAGTAAGTTTCCTTTATGGCAAGCGAATAAGACTGCAGAGAGCGTGTGAGAGTCGGGCCTGATTCCGGCCAACCTCATGTCTTCTAGAGTCGAGAGAGAGGACGTTATATGTCCATTTAGAGCAAAAGCGTAAATCAAACTGTTCCAAGAAAAGACGTCTGGTTTAGACATTTCATCGAACACTTTCTGGGCATCTGATACGCACCGGCATTTCCCATAGAAATCGATCAAACCATTCGAAACCGATATGTATTTTCCAAACCCAGACACAGTGGAATAGCAATGGAGATGTTTTCCGATTTTCTTGGCGCATAAATTAGCAGAGGCTGATAAAAGGCCAGATATAATGAAGCCATCTATCTTCAAATCATCTTCACGTATGTGACTAAGGATTGCAAGAGTCCGTTCATACCGTCCCATCTGATTCAACTTCGAGGCAAGAACTGTGTACGTTATAATACTTCTGTTACTCAATTGTCTTGCTAGATTTATTGCACAATCCTCCATTTGCAGCCCTGCAAAAGTTTCAACAAGTGCATTTCCAACCATGATATCAACATCTGCATTGGTTTTAACGATGAGCCCATGAATCTTTTTTGCCTCTGTTGGACATTGTATCGCACCACAAGCTTGAAGTACATGAGAGAGAGTAAAAGAGTTCGGCCGCAGACCGGAAAACTGCATTTCGAGAAATGCAAGAAAACAATCTTCTTTATGGCCATGTTTAGACAAACCGGCAATTAAGGTGGTCCAAGAGATAACATTTGGATGAGTAATTTCATCAAACACTTGTGGGACATCTTTTGCATCGTTTGAACACTTTGTGTAGAAATCTAAAAGAGCGTTCCCCACGGAGACATCATCTTCTAACCCAACCATTATTATCTGTTTTTGCAATTGCTTCCCCAATATCAAATCGTGAGCCGATGAGCAGGCATTTACAACAGCAGCATAAGTATAACTATTTGGAAAAACATTATTGGCCACCATCTGTTTGAACAAATTTATAGCCTCTCGAAAGTTCGAATTCTGTGTACAGCCACTTATAACAGAAGTCCATAACTGCACATCTTGATCGGGTGTTTGTCTCAAGACCTTCATAGCATCGTCCATCTTTTGGCATTTTGCATACATGTCGACAAGAGCTGTCTTAAGAACAACATTCATCTTAACACCCCAAACAACCAATTGGGCATGGATTAATTTCCCATAGCCGAACCCCAAGAAAGTACAAGCACTCATAAGCTTCACAAAGGTGTATTCGTTCGGAAAAACACCTTCTTTCACCATGCGAGTGAAAAATTGTATTGCTTCAGCCCATTTTCCAGCATTCACGAATGAAGAAATCATCGAAGTCCAAGAAACTGTATCCCCATTCACCATGTCATCAAAAACCCAAACTGCTTCTCTCAAAGAACTGCATTTAGAATAAAACTCAATCAAGCCACTACACAATACTGGGTTCGACCCAAAACCGTGTTTTATTATGCAAGAATGCAATTTCATGCCACGGGTATAATCCCGTAAACCGGTACATGATCTCATCGAATTAGAAAATGTGAACTCGTTTGGTCTCTCGCCAGAAACTCTCATAAGGTCAAATAATCTGAGGGCTTCCTCGTAGTTTCCAACTCTCACATAAGCGGATAAAAGGCTTGTCCAGGAGACGACATCTCTGTGGGACATTTTGTCGAACAGGCGGCGTGCATGTTCGACCCCTTCACATTTTGCGTAGAGGGACAAGAGGCCGTTGTTGAGCGGTAAATTGTCCTGAAAGCCCGATTTAAGGATCGGGCCGTGAATGCATATGCCATCTTTCAGAGAGTGCTTGTTGCAAATATATATTATCCTTGAACAGATTTCTTCGAGGACATTGCTTCTGAACATTTACTATCGCTTGAAGAACTCAACTTTTGCTGCATTTGCAAGTTGCAACCCACTTTGAGGTGATATAGAGATGCAAAGTTATTTTTAAAAAAATGATGGCTTGTTTGTTTGCGAGTTAACTAGTGCATATCTTGTGGATGCACGCGGAAAGTAATATTAAACTAATTTTTTAAAGTTAAATGTTATACTAAATAAATATATTAAGGTTATTTTTTAAAATTAAAATTGAACTAAACGATCACATTAATTATTTTTAAAAATTAAATTTTAGAGTAAACGAACATATTAACCAGTTAAATAAACTTAATACTGATTTTAAGAATATTGATTTTAAGGTGATTTTTTTACGTTTTTTCTTACAATATATACACAAAAAATATTGGTATGTATATTTTTTTGAAATCACACACAAATTTAAAAGTAAACCCTAATTTAAATTTCTCATTCATTTACCATCTATTAATTGCTTTAAGGTGATTCTCAGTTGCATCATCCTACAAATTCCTTCACCAAAAGAAACTGTTTTCTCTTGACTTACCGTAGTACCTCCAGAAGGAACCAAGGAGTCAGACAGAGAACATGGAACCTACATATCAAAGGCAAACTGAAACACTTCTTGTGGAGATGCATCAATGACATTCTTCCTGTCAATACTAATCTCAGGAACAAAGGGGTGGAAGTGGACCTCATTTGCAGCAGTTGTGGTGAGGCAGCAGAGACAGTAGAACATGTACTGATTGAATGCTCAAGAGCTCAGAAAGTTTGGAAGCACTCACATGTCTCATGGGCAGGAATTAATATGCAAGGATGCAAATTTAAAGACTGGTGGGGCTTTATTTGCTCTATCAAACTCACTGTTGTGGATGAAAGAAGAATTGAGCTCACCACATATATATTGTGGTGGCTATGGAAATCGCGCAATCTTTGGGTATTTGATCTCACCATTGTAAAGTCTTGAGAAAATCTTTCGAAAAACATATCTTATTACTCTTTATTTCAATTTTCACTTAAAAATTATGTTCACAGATTCTATTATATAATTTTACAGAAGGCTAAAAGATTGTATAGATTAATCAAAATCAAAATATGTGAACTTTAAACATAAAAATATTATGCACAAACATCGAAGGAACAAACTAAAAATTATCATGTAGCAATTTTTCAGTAAAAAAATTGGGTCTACATGTAATATGAACAACTTAATAATTACCCGTATATGTAAAATTTACGTGGATATATTGTCAATTTAGAAAAAAAAAATGGCATATATAGTTATGCCATATGGTGTATATTATATTTATTTTTTCCTTTCTAAATAGATAATCACATATGGGCTGCAAATTTTACTCTCAAATTTTAAATTTGGAATTATTATAAATTATTATCAGATTTTGAATATAGAATTAATTTTGAAATTCATTTACAAGATTTTAAAGGCGAAAAAAATAAAAATATTGGGAGTTTATCTATTTAGTAAAATACAAATTTTAGGTTGAATTTCTTCTCACTATTTAAGATAAATCTTTAGTTCTTTTTTATATTAACAGATTCAGGTACATTGGTGTCTGTTTTAATATTAATAAAAAAAATCAAAGCATAATATTTCCAATATGGTATATAAATCGTGCGATTCAATGAAATACATTAATTTATTAAGGAATTTCCATCCATTTCTTAGCTACAAAGGTTTTACTAATTTTGTCAAAACACAGTGTATTTTAAATTTTAATGATTCAAGCTTTAAATTTTTTAAGAAATAAATAAATTAATGGTTTTATTAATTGACGAACGTAATTACATAATATAAATAAAGACGGTCAAGATTTTCAAAAATTGATAAAGATTTCAACTAATAGATACACACAAATATAGGATAAAAGATTTTCAACATATTAAGAAGTTGAAAGTGGAAAAAAGGAAAAAAAAAATTAAAAGAAAAATGATAAGATGATATAAACTTTATAAAATTATAAAAAGAATTTAAGAAGTATGATAAAAGTGAAGACTCGCAAATGTATTTACTATTAGAAATCTTTAATTAATGATATCGAAACCAAATTTGAATCACGATCGAGAAAAAATGAAACAATGTTTTTTTATGAGAAAAGGATATTGAATCAATTTTAAAACATTATCCACAATTAAATCTATGCTCCCAAAAGATCCAGACAGAATAAAAATAATATTTATTTGAACTATTTTTAACTAACCCATATGAAGATTGAAATAAAATCTATACTTATTTTCATTTAAAATTTTAAAATTTAAATTATTTTAGAAACATCTAAATTAAGTAAATTGGAATGTTTAAGTGGGATTTTACCTACTATTTTAGGTAAATTCTTCACCTTATTATATAGTAATAGAATAAAAAAAAATTAGTTTTTTTTTGGGTTTCGTATCCAATAAACTTAAAAATTACTGGTCTAAAAACTTGTTGATAAGTTTTGGCTACAGTACGCATATACACCACTTTAAATTTCACGTGACATATATATCCCAAAACTTTTCAATTACCAACCTTAGACTTTTTACAATGTTAAATACCAAAAATACGCTCCTAATTAATTACGGAAGGAAACTAACAAGATATTAATATCTAATCAATCATGTTTTGATATTTATATGGTAGCAAAAATATTAATATTATGGTCAAATAAATAATGATCATTAAAGATGATAAAAGCTAAATCGATTCACGTATTGTATTGAATTTGATACTTATCTTGTTCTATTAACTGTGTACTAGTCAAGGTTTACTCAATGTAAACGTGATATAAACCTTAGTTTTACTTTATTGATATATAATGTCTCCAACAAATATTTTCATCCACTATAATATGGCCATTGTTATTGTCGTTTGAATATCCATTGGAATTGTCGCTGGTATTCCAATGGAATATATTTCCGTTGGATTTTTTCATTAGAATTTCATCATTCTTTGGTAGTGTCCATAAATAAACTTTTATAAACAACACATATACTAAATTACAAAGTGTCATCCATAAGGTGCATAGTCACTTCTNCTTTGATAGAAAATGGAACAAAATCCTACTTATTGCATGGTAGGAATATGGCGCTGAAAGGCATTAGATCTCAATGTGTATTTTACTACGAAATGAGATACAAGAAGACCTCTTTCATTGTAATAAAGTTGTGTGGACAACAAGACAACCTCCATACTAGGTCGGCTTTTGGGGCAGGTAAACAAGGCACATGCCTAGAGCCTCCATTTTTTTTGGGCCTCATATTTTTTAATATTATGCATTTGTGTTGGGCTTGGCCTATTTACACAAATGAAGGAGGTAATGACTAAATATGGTCTTACACAAATGAAAGGGGCTAATGAAAAAATATGCACTTTGTGTGGAAATTTGGTACCCTAAATATTTCATTTGTTTTCTTATGATGTTCGGCTAGAACAATTGTGTGAGTCTAAATGTTCTTTGTACTGATATGAATTTTATTTTCTTCTCCTTGTTGTCTCCGTGACTGCTTGAATATAATTTATTAAAGATCTTTGTAACCCAGATGTAATTTATCAGTTTCAATGTCTAGAAAAACAAGAATTTTTTTTTCATTTATTTATTTAATAGTCTTGTTTAAGTAGGTGTTTTTCTTCTATTTGGACTAATTTTGCAATCTAATGTTTTTATTTCTTTTCTATTATTTTTTATTTATAATCTTAATTTAATTTTTTTAATCTAGTAATGTTTTGTATTTTCAGCATTTAAAATTAAGTATTTTAATTAATAAAATATATTTCTTTTTATTAAAAATAAAATATAAAAATAGTATTGAATAAGTGGGTAATGTGTTCTATGTGTTTGCATGGTTTAAATGAAGAGATATTTAGTGAAAAGATGATGCCAACATTATATTTAGGAAAATGCTACAAGTATCTCATAAATGTAGAGGTGTACATAACACTCATATGAAGTGGGGTACAATGTTAGTGGTATGTACACCTTATGTATAATATTATGTACACATAACATTTCTCATTTATCAATCTATACTTATATTAAAGGGAGTCCTATTTACCAAATTTAGTAGCTAGAAAAGTCAACAACATTTATTGTCATTACTATTTCCGTATTATACAGTTTTATTTAATATTTGTTTTTCTGTTGCGATTTTTAAAAACAGATATGGTCAAATTATCTCATCATTAATTACTTTTCATTAATTACAATTTATCTATTTATTATTTTCTTAGCAAAAACGGACCAACATTAATTGATTTCCTTAAAATGTGGAAGTTGTTGCTTTATTTTTGTACAGAAAATCGGGCTTCATTATAGAAATTTGTTCAATTACACAATGAATTTTCTACGATATAATTATTTTTTATGGGAACATTTTTTTTTAACAGAAAAATATGGCATTTCAATAAGATTTTCGATTTTTTAAGACTGATCGTTATCATGATATGAAATTGAACATTCCAATATACCTTAACAAAATACACACGTGGTGTATACATCAGTTAATAGAAATATAGAATCCTCATGTTTTTATATGTAATTTTTCTATTACCAAAATTAATTGATAGTTGTTATGTTATGGGTATTTTCATAATTGTTACTTGGTTGTTGTGATATTTAGTTTGATTGGTGTCGCAAAAATTCTAATCTATATATATAACAAGAATAATCATTACAATGCAAATTAGAAAAATATTGATATTAGAAGAGATTGAGTTCATGGCTTTTCTTAAATCAAAGTTGTTTAATTAGTATACAAAATTAAATTTTCTAAAAAAATATATGTGTATCTTTTGTATATTATTTATACACTATTTTATTTTAAATTTATTTACATATTTTAAATTGATTACTTATATAAATAATATCAACGTGTATTAAATATATTTCATTACATAAAATAAAAAGAACAAGAAGACGTGTAACTTGTATAACTTTATAAATAATAATGACATTATGTGGCAACAGAGTTTAATAATTAACTATTTTATAGTGAATAAGAATAAGTAAAATTGTTATTTTCTCGTATATCAAGGAATAAGTATATATAATAAAATTAAATTTATATTAGTATAAATCTGTTAGTGGGATAATATATTAATTATTTTACAAATTAGCCCTAACATGCTCACGTTTAATGTTCTGACTAATAAAACAACGTTGATTAAAAGATGTGAAAAATAGATTACAACCCTATTTTTTTAGACTTAACGGTGATTAAAAGAGGTGGAAAATAGATGATAACTCTTTTCAGACTTAAACGAGACTTAATGGTGATTAAAATAGGTGAAAAATAGATAATAACCCCTCTCAGACTTAAACGGACAGAGCCTGTGAAATAATTCATTTAATATCTCTCGTGCATCGCACGGGGTACGTACTAGTATATATGAAAGTGAGGGTAAATTATGATTGAAGGAATGAGAACGAATGCCCTAATACACAATAAACAAGCAATGAATATGAACTGCCTTAAAAAATTCCTCAAACCTTTCCAGAGACTTCTATTCTCGTGTAAAATAACGCGTGCCAGATTTACCTTCAGAAAAACTCACAAAATTCGTACCGTCGAAGATTTTGAGTTTGGAGCATCAATGGCGTCCTCGGATCTGGTGGCAAAGGCAAAAGAAGCGTTCATAGATGACCACTTCGAGCTAGCCGTTGACCTATACTCTCAAGCCATTTCCTTGAGCCCTAACAACGCCGAACTATTCGCCGACCGTGCTCAGGCCAATATTAAGCTTCAAAACTTCACTGGTAAGAGAAAAGAAACTTTGAGATCCTTTTGATGCCGGCTATTAGTTCTTTTGTGCAGAGTAATGTGTTGTATTGCTGTTTTTGGAGAACTTATTAGATATTGTGGAGAATATTTCCGGGCGGGATTGATTTTATTCCTTCCGCTAGGTGAACCTCTTCTTATGGCTATTGGAGAGTGTTTTGTGATTCTTAATTGTTGTTTTATAACTCTGAGTTAGAACTTAGAAGTACTTGCATTTGAACAGTGACGATTGTTATAAATTTTCGATTCCAGGAGCTATCTCCTACTCACTAATTTGAGCTGCATGTAAAATATTGGCCGTTAGCTGGAAACTATTTTATCCAAAATGTGTTGATTTTGTCGAGTTGAATGTGAGCAGCCTATTAAGTCTCTGTATTCTTTTGTGTATGAATCTAAGGTACGGTATATGGGAACTGGAGGACATAAAAATATTATTTAAGTCTGATGAATCTTTTATTGCAATTCAGAGTCCAATGTTTGAAAAGCTCGACTCCATATAGTGTATTGTTGCATTGTAGCCCGTGAGGACTTTATTTGAAGAATTTTTATGCTTGTCTTAAAATAATCAGTCTATGGACTGAAATTCTTAGTTTGCCTAGTAGATTTAGTGTGTTTTAGAAGCTAGTTAGTTTATGGTGTTACTTATCATCGTTAAAGTGTAATGTGCAGAGGCTGTTGCTGATGCAAATAAAGCTATCAGGTTGGATCCTAATATTTCAAAAGCTTATCTGCGTAAAGGGTGAGTTCTATTAGTTGAAGTTATTAGTTTTGACTTTGGGATGATTGGAGTTTAGTTTAGGAAATAAGGAGCATCTCTTCTGTCACGTCATCTTCCTTTCCTTCCATGTCTGTTCTTTTATTGTTCTTATTGTTGGGTCACATTGACAATGATTCTTTTTTAAAAAGGACTGACCGTGAGAGTAACCTTTTACATTTTGTTTCTTGCCAAAAGTTTCATCTCATAGTTGTTATGTATGTTTTGGGAACAGCATGGCATGCATCAAGCTTGAGGAGTACCAGACTGCTAAGGCAGCTTTGCAAATTGGTGCCTCTTTGGCACCTGGAGATTCCAGGTTCACTAACTTGATCAAAGAGTGTGATGAGCGCATCAGCGCAGGTAATTTGATCAGCTACTTCTGGGATTATCTGCATCTTCTATAACTGCAGTCATATGGAATTGACCATTATTACACTCTCATTTCCTTAGATAAACAAAGATTTAGACTTCTCTTTTTTAGACTCCTTTGTTAAAATAGGCAATTGTTCCATTCCCAACCCATATAATTTGTTTCCTTTTTCAAATATTCTTCCGTATTGGTCACTGAAAAACTAATTTTTAAGTTGATTTAGGTGTATTCCGATTTTTAAAAGATTTGGGACATAGTTTTTTTTGGTTGACCTTGATTCTTTGTTATGCCTGTTGCTTGTGATGTATCAAAAGGTTTGTAAATTTGTCACACTACTGGACTTTATGCGTTGTGATTTACATTTTAAATTTCCTATGTTATGTGCAATAAGTTGTGTTATTAGATGTATTCATTTATTTGTCCAAATCATTGGCCTGATATGCAGCTATGGCATCACTATTTCTGAAATATGTGCTGTGTTTTTGCTATAGATGGTTATGCCTGTTCTGCTACGGATTTAACTTCTTGCTTATTTCAGAGCAAGCTGAAGAATTGCCTAAAAAATCTGTTGACAATGCTCCACCAGTTGTGGTGGCTCCAACAGTTGGCTTGTCTAGCCAAGGACGGACGATGCCGCCTTCTAAGCCAAAATACAGGTAAATTGGTGTGTTCGGATTTGGTGATAATGAATTAGTCAGTGACTAGTGATTAATCATTATCTTTCTATGACTTGGTTCGTTGGATCCCCTTAATTTTTTATTTTTATTTTTCACTTTTCTCCCTATAAATTGCAGGCATGAGTTCTATCAGAAGCCAGAGGAAGTGGTGTTAACAATATTTGCAAAGGGCATACTGGCAAAAAATGTTGTGGTTGACTTTGGTGAACAGATAGTAAGTGGAGCACAATCCACTAAATTTGCGTCCTAATGTGACAATTTATTTCAAATGTTCCTTTGACTAACTTCAGTTAATATTCAGCTCAGTATTAAAATCGAAGTGCCTGGTGAGGAAGCATATCATCTTCAACCTAGGTTATTTGGAAAGGTTGTGTGCTAAATCTGTTTGTAAGCTCTTTTTATTTTTTTTTTTGCTTGATTGCTTTTGCTTGGTTGTGTTAAACCCTGAAAAAGTTCCTATATTTNTTAGTGCATTGTTGGATATTGTGGGAGACTTTCACACAGAGGTTTGCATTAACTTTTTACATATTTGAAAAAGTGTTATCGTGCATAGTATCTGAAGGTGGCATCAATAGTCAACAGTTAATTATATAGATAATGCTGAGTTAATTAACGCATAGTCGGGCTGTATTGCTTTTCCTTTCTATTTCCTTACCAGTTAACCATATTTTTTTTAATATTTTTTTTAATATTTTTTTAGTATCTGAAGCCATATATGGCTTTTAATATTTTCTTACTTTCACTATTTTCTTGGTGCAATGATCATAGCATAGTATATTTTTTCATGACCTACTTTTGTAATTAATTAGTGCATTGATATTATTCTCGATGCGCAGATAGTTCCTTCAAGATGCAGGTATGAAGTCATGTCAACGAAAATTGAGGTCCGTCTTGCCAAGGCAGACACTGTACACTGGACGTCTCTTGAGTACCAGAGAGATGCTACTGTTCTGCAGAAAGCAAATGTATCACCAGGTACGTTTTCATTTTGGGAATTACGGGTGTCCCGACATTTGTTTCTCCTTTACAAATTTCTCTCTCAAGGAGATCATTATTTGTTTGATAAATATAAAACTTTAAGATGGTTCCATACCTGTTCATGGTGGCATTTGTAATTTTGGAACATAACTCCATGTATCATATTTTAACTTATTAAACTAATCCTTTGGTTGGGTATTTTTTTCGAATCATCCTACTACATAAACATTTTATTGAGCTTAATTGTTGTTCAACAGGCACTCAGAAACCCACATATCCATCTTCGAAACCCAAGAGAGTAGACTGGGATAAATTGGAAGCTCAAGTGAAAAAGGAGGTATGTAATAAGTTTGTATGTCTATGTACTAGTACATAGCTCGTGCTATGCGCGGGATATTAATGTGAAATAACTAAGTTCTATATGGAAAAAAACACTTTTACTTATTTTTGTTACCATATAATATTCATCTGTTATTTTACTCTAAAGTTTATTGTCTTATAATGTCATTATTATTTATAAAATTTATAAAAGCATTTATTTATGTAATGATAAATATTTAATGTAGGGTAATATTATTGATTAATATTCAATTGTGGCCCTATCGAGACGAAAAATAAAGTAATTTAAATTTTACAAAGAAATTAAAATAAAATGTTGTAATGTTTTGACATATATACACGTGTGATTCTATTCATTTTTTGGAATTTATCGAATCTCACAATAGATGTCGTTAATAATAACCAATTAAAAAGAACAAACTTCACATATTATGGGTTTATTTCTGTTAATTAATGAAAAAATCCAATCAATCAGCATAATGTTTTTTTTTGCCGAAACTTAATTTCAGAATAGTTGAACATATGTTAACTAATAAATAGTTTATATTAATTTTATGAAAGAAAAATATGTAGCTTGAACACTTATGATAATTTGTTGACATATTATTAAATATATCCCATAACTAAAGGTGTTACATATAAAAAAAAATATCGACAATTGATGGAATATTACATTGCCACCTAACCATATTTAATTAGTATATAGTTACCATGTGGGTTAAGGTTATTTACCTAGACAAAATAATGAATGACTAGAAAAAATAATGAATGACTTGACCAAAAAAACTAATTTAGGAAAATTGAGTTTCCGTAAAAATTATATCTCGTCAATTTGAGAAATTAAACCATAATTGTGGTCGGATTATTGTCAATATTTTATTTTAAAAGTTAATATTATATTTTTTTATATGAGAAAAAAGTTACAATCAATATAGCGATTCATATGCAATCAAATCGTTAACCAATAATCAAAGTTAAAAAATAATACCATTATCTAATTTATAATTTTAATATTATATGCATAAATATACTGTATGTTTAAAATATAACTTATAATTGTAATATCATATGCTTACAAACAACTTATAATATTTATTTACACTTTGTGCAAATGTACATGGTCGAATACTAGTTAGGAACAATTTTCAATTTCCATAGTTGGTGATATCGAAGTCATACGTCCAAGTCAGCCTCCCATATTTACTCTTCAGTTTATCATCCAAAAGATCACCATGTCGACACAGGAACAAACTTCGAAGACTGGGCATAGTCGTGGCACTGCTCAGTCCGGCGGACGAACATCTATGCCACCGGCGATGCCGGACTTCGCGGCTCTATTTCAGAACCCGGAGTTTGTAAAAGGTTTCTCTACACTAATAGCACAAACGATGCCGGGAACGTCTATACCCGTTCCCGGACAATCCACTGTTCCAATCACTCCGGCGAAGCCGCGAACCCCACTGGCACAAGGACGTGTCGTGCGTGCAGCCACGTCACACACGACTTCTCAACCACGCAACAATTCGCCACAGAGAGAACGGGCCGCAGTTCACCTTAATGGAAATCTTCCTGATGTTGCCAATCAACCGGCGGCAAATTTTCAAGAGATGACATCAGGCCATCACCAGCGACCTCCTGTGGTTACACGACCGACGTTGCCCCAACCGGAAATACAAACCGACTTGCGCCAACAAATCGAGAGAAATCGTTCTACCAGGCACGAGTCGGTAGAGTTAGAAGTCTTACGGAAGAAAGTTGACGAGTTAGAAACTCGGCAGAAAGCACAAGAGGATTCCCCTCGACGAGCCTCGACGTCGGACCACGTCTATTTGGAAGCTGATTCTCCCCTGGCCCCTGAGCTCATGTCGGAGTCATTGCCAGGTAAAGTTAAAGTTCCTCAAATAGGCCTCTACGACGGGACCTCGGATCCCGATGCCCACCTCGGGCAATATACCTCGTGGATGGACTTACACGGGGCTACCGATGCATTAAGGTGTCGGATGTTCTCTCTCACCCTGGGACCTCGGGCTCAAAGATGGTATCATTCACTACCACAACATTCCATTTGGAAATGGCAACAGTTGAGGTCGGCATTCCGATCTCATTTCATAGGAGCTCAGGTCTATCTGATTCCAAAAGAGTCGATTGCCAACATTGTCCAGAAGGAAGATGAAAGTGTAAAAGATTACATAGCTCGGTTTAATGATCGTGTTCAAAACATGGAGCCATGTCATCCTGAGGCGTTGCTGGTTTTTGCGATAGCTGGTCTCAAACCAAACTCCTTGTTTCGTTGGACGCTTTGCCAAAATAAACCCAACACGTTCCAAGAATTTCTTGCCCGAGCTCAACAACACATAATTGCCGAGGAGTCGATGTCGGTCCCTAACTTTGACTTCTCAACAGAAGAACCAAAGTCGGGGTCAGAAGGAAAGAAAAAGAATAAGAAATACTTCGGTAACAAGTCGGGGAACCCAAAGAGGATTCGGCAAGCGGATAAGGAAGTCTTTTCCCTCACATCGGACATGCCGGGGGCCTCACCCGAAAAAGATACCAAGAGGGCTAGAAGAAGTAGTGAATGATCCTTTAATTGAGTCTTCACTTAAAAATGACCAACCTTTTCATATATGAAGCTATAGTTGAATTAAAAGTTGAACAATATACTCGTGATTCTATTTTCTTAATATTACAGTTCTTTATACTTATACTTTGATCAACATTAATTAATGTTTGACATGAGATGATGGAAGTTATGTGACTTTTCTTTTGAAAACAATTCATGCTTAGTAATAGTGCGCATGTTGTAAAAATGTAACATGAATAAACATTCTTATTATTTTTTTGGCAGGAAACAATACTATTTTATGTAAATACAAACCTTTATATATATACGCTTCTGTAGTCATTAATAATACAAACCTTAATTCATGTTTGATGTGTCGTTCGTGTTCCAGGAAAAGGAAGAGAAACTCGATGGTGATGCGGCTCTGAACAAGTTCTTTAGAGAGATATACAAAGATGCAGATGAGGATACTAGGCGAGCCATGAGCAAATCTTTTGTAAGAACTGAAATCCTTACTCTGATGTGTTATATATTGGGAGTGAATCTTGTAATCTTTTTGGGTCTTTGTGATATATATGAACTGATCTGCTGAAATTTGAGTGCATCGGATCGGATATTATATGTTGGGAGACAATCTTGTGATCTTATTGGGGGTCTTTTGCGATTTTTTTTTTTGAAGTTTCAATACAGCCCTTGGTCTTCAGTTCTTTATTTCGAGTTTTCATAACTCCGTTTGAAAGGCAATTACAGATGGACTTGAAAACATAACATTAGTACATGGAGACCGAATTATCTTTCTGTACTTTAAATGCTTCGACTAGAGTTTTTGTGTTTAAAAAAAAAAAGTAGAGAACCCAAGTGCAATCTTCAAACTTAGAAGATACCTGAACTTTGGCAGCTCAAAGGCTGTTCTGCAATTACAATCTTGTGAGAACCATGCTTTTGTGCAACAGGTTGAATCAAATGGAACCGTGCTATCAACAAATTGGAAAGAAGTTGGTTCAAAGAAGGTCGAAGGAAGCCCTCCCGATGGCATGGAGGTGAAGAAATGGGAGTACTGAAATCTTGTCTTTGTGCATGAACTTGTTCATATTTCGTTTAGCTCAGTCCAAGTTGAGTTTTCCAAAGAATTTCAAGTTGATTTTGCTTTTTGTTGGAGATGTGCCTTAAATTTGAACATTGTGTTGATCTTGTTCAGTTTTCGTTTTGGTTTTTAGTATTTATCTGACTATTTTGGTTAAAAGTCTGAAATGTATGTTGAGTTCTCTGTCGAGTTATTGGGTTGTTATGGAGGGTCCTTGTCTTCTTGACAAGACAATACTTTAGCATAACAAAGCTTTGGGGATATCTTATGGCTCGGGTTGCTAATTGCTAGAAGTTAGTGAATCTATATTCATCGTGATTTTGTCCAATTGCTCCCCAAATGTCATTTTGTTCACCTATGTAAAATTTTTAACCTTTGATTCAAAATGGTTATGGAGTTGGAACTCCTATACCCTTCAAACTAAAAGATTCGTTGCAAATTGACACTCAATAGTCAACAGTAAACTTGAGGATCTGAAGTCGATATTTGAAAAGTATGAACTCTGGAGCCGATATATTAATTACTCAGTAAAAATAAATAATAGATGTGCATTAAAAGAATTAAGCTACGGGTGTAACATTGAATCCAGAGGGCTTTACAATTTAAGCGAAGTTTGTTTCGAATTAAGAGTTTT